GATGAAAATAGATGCAAATATCCTCAACAAAATATTCACAAACCAAATTCAAAAAGATCATCCATTAGGACCAAGTGGGATTTATTCCATGGACACAAGGATGGTATAATATTTGAAAATCAATCATCATCTACCACATCAACAAAAGGGCAAAAATTACATGACCGTCTCAATAGATGCTGAAAAAGCATTTGACAAAATTCACCATCCATTCATGATAAAAACTCTGAAGAAAATGGGTATAGAGGGCAAGCACCTCAACATAATGAAGGCCATATATGACAAACCCACAGCCAACATCATACTTAATAGCGAGAAGCTGAAAGCTTTTCTTTTAACACCAGGAAAAAGACAATGATGCACACTGTCCCCACTTTTATTCAACATAGTACTGGAGGTCCTAGCCATGGCCATCATATGACACCAAGGAATACAAGGGATCCAAATTGGTAAAGAAGAAGTTAAAATTTCGCTGTTTGCAGACAACATGGTATTACACGTAGAAAACCCTAGACTCTACAAAATAACCTGTTAGAACTAATAACTGAATTCAGCAAAGTTGCAGGATACAAAATTAATACAAAGAAATCTGTTGCATTCCTATATACTAAGAATGAATTAGCAGAAAGAGAAAACAGGAAAACAACTCCATTTATAATTGCATCAAAAAGAATAAAATATTCTTTTAGGAATAAACCTAACCAAGGAGGTGAAAGACCTATACTCTGAAAACTGCAAGACACTAATGAGAGAAATTAAAGAAGGCACCAATAAATGGAAACATATCCTGTGCTCATGGATAGGAAGAATTAATATTGTCAAAATGGCCTTTCTGCCTAAGCAATCTACAGACTGAAGCAATCCCTATCAAAATACCAAAATCATTCTTCAACCAACCAGGAAAATAGTTCTGAAATTTATATGGAACCACAAAGATACAGAATAGCAAAGCAATCCTGTGAAAGAAGAACAAAATGGTAACTGTTCTTCCTAACTTCAAGCTTAACACAAAGCAACAGTAATCAAAAAAAATTTGTTACGGGCACAAGAACCCACATATAGACCTATGGAACAGAATACAGAACCCAGATATAAACCCACATATGTATGGCCAATTAATATATGATAAAGGAGCTATGGATTTACAATTGGGAAATGACAGCGTTTTCAACAATTGGTGTTGGTAAAACATGATACATATAAGAAAATGAAACTGGATTTTTGTCTAACTCTGTACACAAAAGTAAACTCAAATGATACAAGGACCTGAAGCTGGATGTAAGTCATGAAACTTCATAAAAGTCATAGAGAAAACATAGTCAAAATTCTCTTAGGAATCTTTTCCTGAACATATCTTCTTAGGCAAGGGAAACAAAATAAAAAATAAACAAGTGGGACTACATTAGACAAAAAAGCTTTTGTACACCAAAGGACTCCATTAGCAGAATGAAAACACATTCTACAGTGTGGTAGAATATATTCATAAATAACTTGTCCAATAAGGGATTAACATCAAAATATATAAAAAGCTCCCTCACCTCAACACCCAAAAAACACATAACTCAATTAAAAAAATTAGGCAGAGGATCTGAACAAACGCTTCTCCAAACAAGAAATTCGGATGGCTAACAGACACATGAAAAGAAAAGCTTCACCTTGCTTATCATCAGGGAAATGCAAAATAAAGCTACAGTGAAACATCATTTCATACCAGTTAAGATAGCCCACTTGCAAAAGACAAGAAACAATGAACACTGGCAAGGATGTGCAGAGAGGGGAACCCTCCTACACTGTTGGTAAAAATGTAAATTAGTTCAACCATTGTGGAAAACAATATGGAGTTTCCTCAATAAATTAAAATTAGAAATTCCTTTTGACCCAGAATTCCACTCCTAGGAATTTACCCAAAGAAAACAAGAGCCCAGATTCAAAAAGATATATGCACCCCCATGTTTATTGCAGCACTATTTACAGTAGCCAAGGTATTGAAGCAACCTAAGTGTCCATCAATAGATGACTGGCTAAATAAGATGTGGTACATACACAATATGGAATATTATTCAGCCATACAATGAAAACAAATCCTACCATTTGCCATAACATGGATGGAGCTAGAGGGTATTATGCTCAGTGAAATAAGCCAAGTGGAGAAAGACAAGTACCAAATGACTTCACTCATTTGTGGAATAACAACAAAGCAAAGCTGAAGGGACAAAATAGCAGCAGACTCACAGACTCCAAGAAGGGACTTGTGTTTACCAAAGGAAAGGGTTCAAGATGTTCCATGGGAAGAGAGGGAGAAGGGGATAAAGGGGCACTATAATTTGCAATCACAATATAGGTAGGTCACAGGGAAGGCAGTGCAGCATGGAGAAGGCAACTAATAAATCTATAGCATCTTACTATGCTGATGGGCAGTGACTGCAATGAGGGCGGCGAGGACTTGATAATATGAGTGAATGTTGAAACCACAATGTTTTTCATGCAAAGCCTTCATAAGATTGTATATCAATGATACTTTAATAAATAAAAAAATTTTCCTGGAAGGGTGGTACACCAAGAGAGTGCATGGAAATTCCATGCCTGCCAATCCCCCATTCCTTGCCCTATGAATGGCTCCCATTGGGCTGCTCCTGTGTGGTGTTCTTCATATTAAACTTGTAGTAAGTGCAGCACTTACATATTACTATATGCAATATTTGGAAGGAAAACATCAAAATAATAATGTATATCCTGAATATTACTGTTTCTATATCTTTTTTAGTTTCCACATGTACATTTGGATTTTTTCATATTAAATATTTATTATCAGTATAATTTTAGATCAGAAGGCTGTCTTCATACTCACTGCATTGCAAAAACCATGTGTGTACAAATATATAAGAATCTGCTTCTGAATTATCATTGGAAACTTATTTTTTACACTTGGAATGAGCTGGTTGCTATTAGTGTTTCTTATTCTCTAAGGACATTATCCCTATTGGTGCTTTACGTAGAATTTTTATGGCAAAGTACATCATATTTTATACTCATTGGAGGCTTTGAGTCAGGTCCTCCAAGGGCTTTTTTATTCAATTATTTTCTACACAACTGTTACAGAAGGAGTTAAGAAGTTGAGCTGTCGGTATAAAAAGCTGTTTGTCTGGAGAAAATCAGACCACTCACTTTTGCAGAGCCAGAAGGTCTTCTCAGCTCCTACTTGCACTGTGACTTTATTATCTGCTTTTTAACTACCCAAAATATAAAGAAATTATCCTATTTTAATTAGGATACATTTCTAGGCATTAAGATGACATTTCTCATAAATCCAGAAACTTTGTGTACATATGTGGTGAGTATAAGTCTCTGGGAGCAAGTGGCTAGGAAGGCACTTAGATGATCCTACTAGTAGGTATTAGGTCATTTTAGCTATAGTTTCTCAGTGAAAGAATGAAAAATGTAAAAGACAAGCCATGGTATGTTTTCAAGCCCACCAGATTGAAAATGATGGTAGGACTCATTTTATGCATTATTGATTTGGTGCAATCCCATATAGTGAATGATTTGCAGAAAAAAATTTCTCACCTCTCCCTCTGTATTCCTCTTCTCTCCTGTCTCTATGTCTTATTTACCTGTTATATCTATCTATATATTTACATCACACATATCTCAATTAACCTGTGGTAAACATTCCATTTTCTAGTATCTCCCCTCTTTAAGGACAAGCATCTCCTGTTTGCAAATGCTTTGCCTCATAAATACAGTTTAATGTCCTTTTTACTTTCATGATATCTGTGTCCTGGAAATGTTCCACGTAGAACTGTAACTTGATGGGAGTCGATACTACTCATTTAAACCTCATAGTAACTCTATTACTATTACTCTGTTAATTCCACTGTTAAGGTATCTCCACTTTACAGATTAGGAAACTGGGAACACAGGGAGATTAAATGACTTGCTCAAGGTCTCTTAACTAGCACATGACAGAGATGTGACTTGATCCTAGACAGACTGTTCCTTCCAGGGTCCATACACCTAACCACTGTGTGTCACTGAAACATGATCATACATCTTGTCCTAAAGGAAGGTGAGCAAAGTGTCTTGATATCTTTCATGTATTCATGATTTTTACACATTGTTTCTCATGTTATATTAAAATAATCAGACATTAAAGCCCTCTCTGCTGAAGTAGAGTTAGAAAATGTAGGGATAATAGAGGAAGTTAGAGAAAATCAGAAGAAAAGCTGTTGAAGGACTAATTTCTGGGAGAAATATGACTTGACCTTTAAATAATACATAGCCAACTAGAGGAGGGATCTGGAGAGTCTAGGTAGGATGTAATCACCATCTCCCATCCATTTCCATTTTATCAGGTACCACAAGTTGAAGTAAAGGAATTTTAGGATTTAACTTTTGTGTGTAAGAGTTTTTGGAATAAGAAGACTATGCCCCATGCCTCAAAAGCCAACAATTCCTGATCCTACAGGGGAAATCTCAACCAAAGTATGGACTTATAAAATTAATTGAGAATAATGCTTTGAATTGGGAGAACCTGGAATGTTTAAAACAATCTCAGTAGCAGTAATTTTCAAGAGAAAACTTCTAAGAAGCTTAGATTCCATGGGGCAGATTTCAGTGCAGCTGAGGGAATTACCTCATCAAAACCCATCTTACAAAAGGAAATGCATGTGACTGGGTTTGCTTGGTGTTGATAGACACTGTCTCCTGCAATCCTATTTGATGTTGTTCTTCAGATCCCATTTCTGTGACTTTTATGTGAAGATTGGTAATAGACGAAGTCAGTGATGAGAAACCATTCAGCAATAACAATGTTCAACCTACTGGGACTGACAAGTGACCCACAGCTAGAGATTTTGGTTTTTCTATTTCTGTTTATATCATACACATTAAGTTTAATTGAGAATCTTACCATAATTTTGCTTATCTTGGGGGATTCTCATTTAAAAACAGCTATGTATTTTTTTCTTCAAAATTTCTCTTTCTTAGAAATTGCACTCACAATGGCCTGTGTCCCCACATACCTGTACATCATATCAAGTGGGAACAAAGCCATCAGTATCAAAGCCTGCTTCAGCCAAATATTTTTTATTGTCTTCTTTGGAGCTGCAGAATATTTTCTCTTGGCTGTGATGTCCTATGACTGCTATGTGGCCATCTGCAAACCCCTGCATTATGTGACCATCATGAACAGCAGAGTCTGCAGGAATCTCATCCTCAGCTTTTGGGTATCTGGCTTACTGATCATCCTTCCACCCCTTGGTTTGAGCCTTAATCTGGAATTCTGTGACTTTGTTATTGACCATTTTTTCTGTGACGCTTTTCCAATACTGAAGAATTCATGCTCAGATACATGGTTCATAGAGCAGCTAGTTATATTTGGTGGTGTTTTAACCTTCCTAATGATCCTAGTGTGTGTAGTTCTGTCCTATATTTACATTGTTAGGATGGTTCTAAGATTACCCTCAGCCCAGCAAATGAAAAAACCATTTTCCACTTGTTCTTCTTATATGATTGTGGCTTCCATCGCATATGGCAGCTGCTTTTTTGTATATATCAAACCTTCAGCTAAATATGAGCTGGCCATTAATAATAAGGACGTTTCTGTGTTCATTGTATCTGTTGCCCCTTTGTTGAACCCCTTCATTTATACCCTGAGAAACAAACAAGTGAAGCAGTCTTTCCACTACACCCTCAAAAGACTTGTGCTTCTTTCAAAGAAATTTTAGGTTCTCTTACTAGAAACTGAAAATAAAAACAAAGTTATCAGTATGTGGATGGAAATTAAGCCATGGATGTTGTCCAGTCTTACGTTGTTGAGGGCAATGAAAAGAATTAGGCAGAAAGTCTAAAAAGAAGTGTGAGGGTTCAGCCTTTTGCAGATGGATATTTCTCTACTTTTCTGAAACTTCTGTGTGTAACTCAACTGCTCGTTTCAATCAACTCTTTTTAGTCTTGTCTCATATACATTAGTCATTAGTTCCATGTATCCATGTCACTGTACTCTTTGCAACAGCCTTCCTCTTTTTAAATGGTAGCATAGTTCATACACAGTTATATTTGCATCAGGTATACAACATAATAATTCAACAATTTTATTCATTTTGAAATGCTTATCATGGTCAATGTATTTACCAACTGTCAACATATAAATATGACAATATTATTCAGTATATTTTCTGTGGTGTACTTTTCATCCCCATGACCTTTAATTTTATAATTGGAAGTTCGTATCTCTTTATCCCCTTTGCCTATTTAATCCTCATGTTCATTTCTTTCCCTATAAGAAGCAACAGTGTGTTCTCTGTATTTATGAGTCTATTTCTACATTCATTTGTTTATTTTTAAAGATTTTTCATTTAAGTGAAATCCTATGATATTTATCTTCCTGGGTTTTACTCATTTCATTTAGTATATTAGCCTATACATCTGTATTGTTTCAAATAATATTTTTTGTTTTTTTATGGCTGAATTGTATTCATTGAATAAATGAACCACATTTTCTCTATCCATTCATCTATTAATGAACTCTTAGGTTGCCTCCATATCTTGGCTACTAATGAATAATGCTTCGATAAACACATAAGACATATTTCTTTTCAAAGTAGTGATTTTGTTTTCTTCAGGTAAATACCTGGAAATGGACATTCTGGATCATATAGTATTTCTATTGTTATTTTTAGGAACCACCATAGCATTTTCCATAATGGCTGCATGAGTTTGCATTCCCACCACAGTGAGCAGGGGTTATCTTCTACATCTTCACCAACGTTTGTTACTTCTTGTCTTTTTGATAATATCCATTCTAATAAATGTGAGGTGACATCTCATTGTGGTTTAATTTGCACTTTCCTGATGAGTATTTATGTTGAGCACCTTTGCATAGCCTGTTGGCCATCCATTGATGTTCTCTGGAAAAATATCTCTTCATGTCCTCTCTCCATTTTTCAACCAGATGATTTAGCTTTTGGCTGAATTTGAATATCTGCCTCCTCCTAAACTCCCTTTGATTTTTACATGCTTACTGAGCAGAGTTCCAAAGTCAGTGATGAGAAACCACACACAAATACAAGTTTTGTCATGTTGAGACTCACAGATGATCGTCAACTGCAAATCCTGCTTTTTATCTTCCTATTTCTCACCTACATGTTGAGTGTAACAGGGAACCTGACTATTATCATCCTCACACTGGTGGACTCCCATCTTAAGACCCCTATGTACTTTTTTCTCAGAAATTTTTCCTTCTAAGATGTGTCATTTACCACTGTATTCCTAGATTCCTGTACAGCATGTCAACTGGGGACAATACCATTACCTACAATGCTTGTGCCAGTCAAATATTTTTTGGTGTTCTCTTTGGAAGAACAGAATTTTTTTTCTCCTGGCAGCCATGTCCTATGACCGCTACACTGCTATCTGTAAACCCCTGCATTACATGACCATCATGAACAGTAGGGTCTGTACCTTATTAGTCCTCTGCTGTTGGGGGTCTGGCTTGATGATCATTCTTCCACCCCTTAGCTTGGCCCTCCAGCTTGAATTCTGTGACTGTAATGCAAACAGTCATTTTAGTAGTGATGCAGGTCCCCCCCTAAAGATCTCACGCTCAGATACACGGGTAATAGAACAAGTGGTTATCCTTGTGTCTGTATTTGGACTCATCATCACCCTAGTGTGTGTGATTCTGTCCTACACACACATCATCAAGACAATTCTCAGGTTCCCCTCTGTTCAACAGAGAAAAGAAGCCTTTTCCACCTGCTCTTCCCACATGGTTGTGGTTTCCATCACGTATGGCAGCTGCATCTTCATCTACATCAAGCCCTCGGCAAAGGAGGAGGTGGCCGTAAACAAAGGCGTCTCAGTGCTCACTGCATCTGTTGCCCCCTTGTTGAACCCCTTCATTTACACCCTGAGGAATAAGCAAGTGAAACAAGCTTTTAATGACTCCATGAAGAGGACTACATTTCTCTCAGAGAAATCAAAGCTTTGATGAATCAAATAGAATGTAGAAGAAAGTCCTCTAAATATTTAACTACAGCTTCTAACTTACTTCAATTCTTTGTGCCTACAATTCAGTCACATTAACCTTCTCAGACATTTAATGCTGCATCCTCTCACTTTAAGCAAACTCCTTCTTCTGCTTTCAAACCCAACTGATATGTGGTGTTTTCCCTCATTATGAATCTAGAAAACATATTTCCAAGTATTCAAACTTGTTTATTTCTAACCCAAATGTTTTTTCAGTGCTCTGGTGAAGGAAGTAATGTAATAATATTTAAAAGTATACAAATTATCTAGAAGAATCATTATGTAGTAATAGTACTAGATTCTTCTCAAAAGCAAAGTTAACAGAATTATCCTAAATAGTAACAAAGTGCTTGTCAATGAAGAAAGGAAGAAAGATGAAAGAAATGGAGGGACAGAGGGAAGGAAAAACAGGAGAGAGAGTAAAGGAAGGAAAGAAGGAAGTAATAATAGGAGAGAGAAAGGAAACAGGCAAAAAAGCAAGAAAGCAAGAAAAGGAGAAAGAGGCCTCTACTATTGTACTCCCACCTTTTAAATTACCTTTAAAAGTAAATTGTTACTTCTGCTGGCTAACAGGCAAAAAGGGAAAAATGTTAATTGTTGAAGAAATCTGAAAAGATTATTTCTGACATTAAATTTAAAACTCCGAGATTATTTATCTCAAAATTTGAAAGTAGGCTTTGAAATTGCCATTTAACACTATTTGAAATTACTTCTATGGCATAATTTTGAAAACAATTGCTTCTTGGAACTCCTAATGATGTGTCAGAGTCTCCAATCATTACTATTAATGCCCTTGCCAATGCTATAAATCATGTTTTAGATGTATCAAAATGTATGCAGAAGAAGATTGAGTAAATTGATGAACACATCACAGAGTCATGAAGCCTGAGTTCTGATTTCAAGGCATGTTCAGCCCACTCCAGTCCGCTGCCTTTCAAGCAGCAGTGTGGTTTGCAGATGGCATAATGGGAAAAGGACACTGGGATTGAGAGCATACAAGATGACATACTAGCAGGGTGCTCTCTCTGCAATAATGCACACCTAGTTTACCAATGTATCTTCTCATCTTTGTATGCTAAGTTATTTTATTGATATCAAGGAAGAAAATTAACTTGACTCAATATTTTGAAATTTATTTGATAGATTTTACATACCATGATCTGTCTTGTGGTAGCATATTCAAGATTTTATATACTGATAAAGGGAAAGGTCAGATATTGCAGTTATCTCCCTGCCAATTTGGAAGCATATTTATTCATTTATTTTTACTTTTTAAAGAATTTTGGTATCATTAATATGCAATTACATGAGCCACATTGTGGTTACTAGACTCCCCCCATTATCAAGTCCCCAACACACATCCCATTACAGCCACTGTCCATCAGTGTAGTAAGATGCTATAGAGTCACTACTAGACTTCTCTGTGTCCTATACTGTCTTCCCTGTGCCCCCCGCCTACATTATGTGTGTTAATGGTAATGCCCCTTATTCCCCTTCTCCCTCTCTTCCCCTCAACCCTCCCCAGTCCCTTTCCCTTTGGTAACTGTTGGTCCATTCTTGGGTTCTGTGAGTCTGCTGCTGTTTTGTTTCTTTGTTCTTATATTCCACATATGAGTGAAATCATTTGGTACTTGTCTTTCTCTGCCTGGCTTATTTCACTGAGCATAATACTTCTAGATCCATCCATGTTGTTGCAAATGGTAGGATTTGTTTTCTTCTTATGGCTAAATAATATTCCATTCTGTATATGTACCACAGCTTCTTTGAAGCATATTTATCAGCATGACCTCCTGGAAAATTCACCAAAGAGCTCTTATATACTGAAATCACTATAAGAAATATTTGAATAAAGAAATTGGCACAAGAGACTCTAAAATATTTATTATCAGGACTAAAACAATTATGTGACATTTCATAATGTGCTTCATTTGATGACAAGTTTGTAATTAGTCAGTGTAACTATTATTTTTGATATATTTGTAAAGCAGAATTAATTCTTATTTACTTAATTGAGACAATGAACTATAAAACCAGTAAGTTAAAATAAGAAAAACCTCAGGACATCAGTATGTAAAATTGAAGAAGATAGAAGAGTAGGAGCCAAGAAACTAAGCCAGTTTGTGTGATTCCAACCTTCTTTACTGTGGAGTTGAAAATACTATATCTGCAAATAAATGCAGAGCAATTATAATTAGTCATTATATTGAAGCACTGCAATTTCACTCAGAGGTGTAAAGTAGCATTTTCTTAAACTGGAGGTAAAAGATGTGCAATGGTGGAAGTATTAAAGTTTGAAATAAAAGAAAGAAAGCCATGAATACCAAGCAGCTGAATTATTTGGAGTGATTTACTAGTGCCTCATTTATTTTTTCTTCCATAGTGTTTAGCCTGATTACTTACGATCTTTGTGGTCTTCACTGGAGTCTGTACAGTTGAAGAAGCAGGTGCCTCTTCTAGTCTTTGCTGACGAGGACTGGGAAAGCTCTTCACCAGTCAGCCCACCCAGAGGTTCTGGGCTCACTCACATCTGGGTCCACGGGTGGGCTTGTGCTGGAGTCTGTGGGTAGGCTGGCTTTTCAACTGGTTCAGCAGTGGGTGAGCCTGCTTCTTGGGTGCTGACCTGGCGCTGGGGTGGGGCATGAACCTGAGTCATGGGAATCTGTGGGGGCCAGCCTGCTGCTGGGGGCCCATGGAGTGG